TACCCCCAGAAATATATCTATATATACTTTCTGTCTAGTATCATAGGGGTAATATTCTCTTCTCTGTTGATTTTTACTGTGAGTGATCTTTTCAACTCAGATTAGAGTCTTTAGAAACATCATAGACGTTTAAGGAAGCTGAAGTCACTGGGGCAGGTGTCCCACTTTCCTGGGTGACCTCTGTGGGCTGATGCCTCCAGGAGAAGCTCCCTCCCAGCCATTGCTACCACACAGAAGCAACAGAATTGAGACGATTGCAGAAGTTAGACAGAAAAACGGGCTCATATCAGTGCTTCTGGTTTCTCATCACACAGGGGGGCCCAGGAGAGCTGGCATTATCCATGACCCCAAGGTGAGCTTCAGCAATTACCAATTCAGGAGCAGCCTAATCCAGCCAGTCCACAGTTGTCCCCAGAGCATCCAGATGACACCCCGCAATCTTTTCACCTGTTCTCTGCTGCCACCAATGTTCAATGAGACCACCTCAATGCCCCCAGATGCCATCTTGAGCAAGAAAAGAGAAGGGGGTGGCATGAAACCCAAATGGCTAGTCATTTACCAAAAGAAATAGGGTCATTCCAAAGTGGCTGTTACTATAGCCACGATTCAAGTTTTGAAGAGTCTGGATGTTTAAACCAGAAGTAGAAATATGGACATGAGTAACAGAAATAGTTCCTCCTGGCAAGTCGAAGATGTCCCTAGCAATCAGCAGGGTGGGACTCGTGGGGAAGAACCAATGAGCTATTAAGAAACAGATGCTGCATTTTCTCTACATATCCGAGTTTAGTGTGAGTGGTTTGGGGACCTCACAACAATTTTATAGTTTGTGTTCATTCCAATAAGCTAAAAAAGACAGTCAAAATGAGGAACCATCCTTTTCATAAAGTCAAGTTGAGCTCAAGTGTTTTTCTGAGTATTAACTCAAGCCTTTCTTGGGATTGCTTGCAAAAAGTTTCATGAAGTTTAAAGAAATCTGGATAACCGTTTACTCCATCCTTGAAAACTTCCATACAATTTCCATTGAATGGAAACTAAGCAAGCTTTTAGTTTCAGTTTGGTTGTCAACATGTAGGAAAAAGAAAACTTCACATCAAAGAAGCAATACAATCAGAAAATCAAAACGCTAATGGAAAAAAAAAGCATTTCTTACAGTGAAGCCTTTACCGTCCATTAGAATTTTCATCCAAAATGGAAAAGCAGAGGGAAAAAGTCAGTTCTGCGAGGAACTGCGAAGGGAACTGCCTTTACTCTCTGCCAAGTGCTCCAGATGCTTTTCTTACAGAAGTACTTTGGTCTGAGGCTCACACTAGTCTATTCCCATGCCTGTAACCCAGCCAGGCACGGAAACAGGTACTCTGTTAATCCACCGAATGCGATTTTTAAATTACTTCATCTTACTTAACATTTCAAACCAAGCAGGGAAAGTAGGGCCATGTTCTTCTCTTCCTTTTTTTAACCTCGGACTTGTTAAGTCAGTTTAAAACCGATCAGCGACATTTGTTACCAAGTGGCCCAAGAAATCAGGGAGAAATTAATGATCTAGGTTTGGCAAACAAAGCATTAGATACATATGAAATGTTTCAATATAAGTCTTTGTACTGTCAGACAAATGATTCATTTTGCAAGCTATTTGTCTTGTGGAAGTCATCGTATTTCAGAATGGATTCAGATATAGCTGTCCATGTACATCTTGTTTCAAGAGATCACTGCTGAACATCTTGTTTAATTCAATGACTGTTTACTGAGTGTTTATTATGTGCTGGACCCTATGTTAGGCACCCAAGATACAAGACACACTATGGCATTTTGTGAAGGTTTTATTCTCTCTGAAGGCAGAGGGAAAAGTAAGATAAAGGTCTATGGAGGTCATGAGTCGGTGGATTGGAGACAGATTCAAGAAACAGAATCAACAGAATTTGTTCCTGAATTGGATGAGTTGACAGATGAAAATTCAGACTTAGCTCCCTGGTCTCATTTGAGGGAGCAGGCGATGCCATTCATGAGATTAGAAATGTTGGGATGTGTGCAGTCCAGCCAGCTCCACATCCCCCAGAGATGAAATCTGAGGGAACTACTAGTACAGAAATGCATCCGGTCGGAGACGTCTGACTAAGTTCCAAGTCCACTGCCAGAGCCCCAGTGGGTTTCTCCCAAATGGAAATGTTCGAACCTACTTCAGAACCAGCTCAACGTAAACACTGGCTGGTGGCAAAAATGCCGAGTGGTGAGAAATCCCCTTTCATGGAGAGGACTCTAGTCTTGGGGTGATGCTGCTTCACAGGCGGCCCCACTGTCGGGCCTGATGCTTTTGAATCTGTCCTGGTTATTAAAGGGTGCGCACAGGGCAAAGGGCCACCCACAGCACCCACAGTCCCACCTCACGTTCGTGCGTCTGCAATATTTGAGGGAGGAAAGTCAGGTCACCGCTCTCCAGTATCTATAAAATTAGGATCAACACTCTCCGTCAACTATAAAGGTCTGTAATTTCCCTTCCTGTGTCTGGACATTGAAACAGATAAAATGAGGAGGAACTAATGGAAGGGAATTCTAGAGAAAAAGGAAATGTTCAACTTCTACGTACGTCAGTGAGAAGTTATCTCGTCCTTATTTTTAGTATGTGGGGGGCATTCTGACAGGATGAACAGCTAAAGGACACCATGGCCGAGGCCTCTGGTGACCCCATTTTAATTTCATAGTATGAAGACACCTACAAGTTAGAATTCTGGAAGATGAATATTTATTTAGTGGAAGGTTAATCATCCTGGTTCTGATTGTAAGAAAACAAAGGCCCCCATGTCTGTAGACTTGATTGCACACGCATTTTTAAATAGTGTTAAGTGGCCATCTACTAAGGTATGAAGTAAATGTCCATGTGGAGGTTTTGAAATTAAAATGTGCTTTCAATAAGAATCAATACTGATAGTGCCCTCAAATCAACTAAGATCATCTCCTGATCCCGCCCAAAAGGCTTCCGCTCAGTCCCGCATTCCAGCTCTTTCCTGGCAGAGGAGGGAAACCAGTTCAAAAAATTATTCAGGCAGAAATACAGCGCTGTTTTGTGCATGCAGTGTATTCTCAATGAGGGAAATCTTCTACCTGGTCAGTGTCAGTGTATCTAATATAAAATATTTTCTTCCATACCTGGTAGCGTTATTTTTTAAGTAAGAACTCCATTAAAATAATAAAACTTAAAATGTTGACTTAGATCTACGAACCTGCTATAAAAAAACACCAGTTAGATGAGACTGATTTCCACTGAGGTAAATGCTGCACGATACTGTGACCAAACAGCTCATTTTTTCCTAGAACGCTGGCAGCCCCTGCAGAGAAGTGTCTTGAATAAGTCCCTGGCTTTTCACCTACACTCCAATCCTTCCAGAAACTCACAAAGTAGACATTATTACCGAGGGGAGACCAGAGACCCTGAGAATGTACATGACTTCCCCAGAGCCACACAGCCAGCTGGAGGTGACAGTGTTGCCCTGTGGCCCCGAGTCCACCAGCCTCAAAGCCACCTCTCCCCAGTCAGACAAGATGCCTCTTTGCCCTTAGTTTTTAGTCCTTTGGGGCTTTGCCTTGAGCTTTGCCTCCTGACAGCAGTTATATCATCCATTCAGAGCTCCCACACAACTCCGGGTTCTAAGGCAAGCGGTCAGGTCCCATTTGGCTCACATTGTCTATCACTTCCCCTCTGTTTACTCTTTCCTCCTCTAACCTCTTTCTGTGCTCAAGCTGACAGTAGATAAAACAAGCTGTTTCATTCACAACAAACTATGTTACACACTATTTGAGAAGAAAATATTTGTATATTCCTTGCCAGTGCTGAATCTACATTAAGGTTATAAAAATAGGAGAATCCAAACTTTTACAGCAAAATGAGTAAACCCAGCTTTCCTGAGTAAAGTCAAATCCACGGCTGCTGTCTCTCGTTAGTAACCTATTTTAAAATGCTCTCCTCATCAATCCCACGTGCTCACGGGATCATCCCAAGGGCAGGATAATCCTTCCATGTTCCCTGGAACCAATATGACCCCAGATTCAGCCACCACGGCCAGAGCCTCACCTCACCCACGAGGAGCCACACTGCCCGTTGCCCTTTTATCCGGGCTGGGATTTCCTTCCATCCCTGGAACACCAGCTCGCCTGTTCTGCATCCATTTGAGGCTTAAAACAAGAAACACATTATCATCTTTTCTGCGAACTCTTTCCCACATTAGATTTTACATTCTGGAAGAAATCCAGATTCAGTTCTGCCTTTTGCACTCTACTGAGAATCTCCATTCTCTTAAGACCTTACGTTGCATTCTGACACTCAGCCTCGGGGGAAAAGAAAACCTCTCTCATTTCCGTTACCAGAACGTGTCCGTTCTTCCTTGAGGATGGTAACTGCTTGTCTGCCTTGCTCTGCCCACTAAACAACTCGTCCCACAGGCTGCAGTTAAAGTCACACTCACTCACTGCTGTAGCTGACATTTTTTTCCCCTCTCTGTTTCTCAGTTGTGAACAATGTGATTCATTCTGACTCTGTCCACAGTTTATCCCCAGTTCGTTCATCGGCTCTTTTCCTGCCTCTGCGGATCAGGGCAGCCACGCTCCAGGGCGAAGCTTTTCCTCACTTTCATCCGCACTGTCCTGTGGTACCGAGAGCCACCTCCTCCCTTGCTCCTTTGGTTTCTTAACCAAAACAACTGCCCTTAAAAGACTATTGAATGAAAAAAATCTGTCACCTCCATTAGTTGTTCATTTTCATTTATCTATTTTAAATACACTTTTAAAACTTTGCATTAGGGAAAAGTAAAAAGGGAAAGAACAATGAACATCCCAGCATTTACACATGTGATCTGCCCCCAACATCTCATGACCAAAATAATTGCCTGTGTAAATAAGATTTCACCCTTCAAAATACGGTATTTATTTTAGAGAGTAAAAGGAAATCATGTTGATCTCATATGATAACCATAAAAAAATGTCTGATCATAGGAAAACAGCAAAGTCAATCGTTCCAGCTCTTGAAAAATATTTTAATCATGCAAAATCAACAGAATGTGCTCTAACATAATGCTAAAATGTTAACTAAGATGCAGTGGCTTTTATTCATTTTACAGTGTGTATATTTGGCAAGAGTTATTAAAAATAATTACCTTAAAGGAAGTCTAAATATATTATTTCAGAAACAATGTTTCTAAATACAGCAGTAAGCAACAGAAACCATTGTTCTTTATACTTTTTTTGGCATAACACTGCCATACAGTTACAGAATTATAAAATAACATGTTTCATAGTACCATACAGATCCAGAAACTGGTTACAACTGCTACCACATACACATGGTATTGGTCCTGACAGACATGCACAGCATTCTGTAATTCACACGGCAGGTCACAGAGCACGGAGCCCACGGCTGCTGGAGGGTCAGAGCTCCCGGGGGCAGTACAACACATATCTTTTTAAGAATCCTACCCATTTTCCTGAAATGCTTAAAATACAAAGGACACAATGGTTTCCGAATTGAAATAGTGGCCAGACCCCGGTGGCCATGTTTCTTCTTAGGTAGCACCAAGTAAGAGCTGGTACCTCCCTGGGGAAACAAGCAAACAGCCTTCTGATAAAAAGGAAAAAGGCTGCTTGTCCAAGGACCTAACACTGTGCTCTTGTTTGTTCCTCTTAATTGTGATGTCCTACAATGTGCTGCCACCCCTTAACGGTATGGGAGCTAGAGTTACTTCATTGATAAACCATCTGCCACTGAGTCGTCTTGTGTCTGCAGCCAGTCCCCACCCCCACCGCATCTCACTTCTTGTTATTGAAACCACTGGCAAAGGAATTACACTTGCTATCTGATCATTTGATTTTGTCTCTCAGTCTATGAAAGGTTTCAGTCTACTGAGGAGCAGGTGGAATTCATGGTTCAAATGAGTTCAAATGGGATTGTTTCCACACCCATCCTGGTCTCCTTGGCACACATAACATAGAGCATGTCCCCACCACATAAAGCTTTTGCAGACCATTCGTCATCTGCCTCCAATAATTCTGGCACTACACAAACCTATAATGGGTTGTATCTTCATTTCTGTAGTGAGTTTCTAGTTACTGTTTCTAATCTTTTGTTTCCTTTGTGTTTTCCATTTCTTCACATGAAACTCAACCTATCAGCACTGAAAAAGGTGCTCATCTGACGAATGAGTGCAGAACTTGGATGTTTCTTAGACCCAAAGCTTATTATATAACTCTCTCTAGTTAATGTAACTATTCCACAAACTCCATTATAATTTAAAAATGAAAATATGATCAGCTTCATAGCTTAAATACATTTATATATTTGAATACCTAATACATAAGTTTTCTGATTTTTTTTATAAAAAGGTCTTCGAGCATGACAAATGAGCATTGGTGCCTTTCGTTAAAGTACACTGATACATTTTATGAAGCGATACATATATTATATATATATATGTATAAAATATATATATCCCACTGAAAGGACAACCTCCAATAATTTTTGATTGACAATCAGAATTTTTGAACAGGGGAGAGTGGCAAGTGGAATAAGCATTTCAGTGTGACCCAGGATACTCATACAGTTCAGCTGTAATTTACAGAGCAGGTGTCCAACTGCTTACAATTTCCTAAACAACTCCAAAATGGTGGCGAATGAATGATAACAGTTATTTTATGAAAACTGATGCCCAATGAAATTGTGCATGGAGTCCAAGGAGGGGGGTCAGTTCCTCAGAAGTCAGCGATCACGGGGCCCAACCCCCTCCTCATCCAGAGGGGACTCCACAGACCCCTCCTGCCACTGGAGAGGCTGCAGCCCAGCATGGGCTGCCCTCCACCAAGACACACACTCTGGTTCGTGGTCACCTCCCCTTCTCTGAACTCAGCCTCCAGGCATAAAACAAAGCAGTTAATTGTGTCCTCCACATGAACAATTTTAATTCAAGGAAACAAGCATTTTATGAAGTTATTCCCCACAAATAACTAGAACGGTAAGCTTCTCAACAGATGAGGGAAGAAGCAGAAGATGACAAAAAAAAAAATCCTAATCTAGGGCAAAAGGCAAGAACGGAACTGTTTAAATGTTCCTAGTAAAACCACAGCATTAAAGGTTTCCAAATTAATTTCAGATTCCTCCAACCATCTATTGGAATTAAACTTTTAAACCATTCCTCTAATAGAATTCCAGTTTCTACATCCATCAGCGTCTAAAAACAAAAGTAAAACACAGATAAATATTACTTGTAGTAGCTGGAAAATGTTTACAATGAAAATTATAGTGTGTAGCAAAATGAAGCAGAGGCATAAATAAATGTAACAATGTTGTTAATCTTTCTTACTGTAAACACTTTTTTTTGTCAAATAGAACACATTTGAACAGTGTGGCTGGTACACTCCCTTCTGAACTAATGCTACTGACACAAATGGAAATTTCTCCAAAATGAAAAAGCACCAAAGAAAATTTCATTAAAATAATTGATATTCATGGTTTGGAATGTTCCTTCTGGCAGAATTTTTATAATGGAGTAAAAATTTAAACTTCTGAATGAAAACAATTTACATTAACTAAGGCACATCTGGACACCTCCAGGCATTCATATTTATAACTATATTATCATTCACTTCAGTAATAAGGAACCTCTATAACATGGTCTGTCCCAAACACAATCTGCTGGGTGGGCTGGATGAGTAGGACAGGGAAGGAGGCAGGGTAGTACTCACTGTTACCCGAGAGATTACCCACACAAATCTGTTCATGCAACAAACACTACAGAATTCAAAGCTGGAAGAAGTCAATGCATGTACACCCCTCATTTTCCAGACCCTACACTGGCCCAGGCCATCATTCTGTACAACTGCACCTACATTTGAAATGATTCTAGTGTGCCTACCTCCAGCCTACCTAATGGATATATCCCAAGAGAAAAAAAAAAAAGGGAATTTTAAAAATAGGAAACAAAATAGAAATCTTCAAAACTATTCCTATAACAAAAGAGCTCCACTTACCCCAAACAAACCTGAAAAGACACACAGAGGCGATTACAATCAAGCAAGATCAAGGATGTCCTTTCCGTGGGTGAGAAAATAAAAGCTTTCAGAAGAGACATACCAAACGCCTGCCTGATTTAGTTACTCACTAGATTATAAACTCAACCATAATTCTACCATAAACTTGGGAAATTTAACTTTAAACAATTAACCAAATATTTTCTCTCCATCAGTTTGACCAATTTTTGACCACTTGACATAGACGTTTACTTACTAAAATGATTTTTTAAAGAGTAACTCAGATGTAACACTGTGCTGTTTTTCCTTTTTCACTAGTTCATACTTTCAAAGTATAAAATCTAGAAGCAAAGTAGGTAACTTTATAAATGAAATGTGTATATTTTAATACTTAGCAAAAAAACTTAGAACTTCTCTAGTAACTCCTGAGTTATGTTTTATTTTCTCCTTGAAGCTGAAAAAAAGTAGTTTCTCAAGACCTAAATTCAAAATAAAACTATACAAAATAATTTTTGAACTGAGAACTAGACCTGATTTAGAGAAAGCAGACAGATGGTCACCTCTGTCATGATTCTTTAGAGTTTCTTATGATATTGAGCATGAGAATGTATAATGGTACAATATTCTTAATGTTATAAACTTTTTCTCTACTGTACAGAAATATATCTTATGATTATATACCACTTTACAGTATTTCAAAATATTTTCACATATATCATCTCCTTTGGGATATGAAAGCACAAAATATCGGGAAAAAATATACTAGGCTAAGCAAGCGATATAACATCTATTGCTGTGAAATGCAAAACAGTATTTTACCAATAGCCAATACTTAGCATCCTTGCAGCCCATGGTACAACAATAAAGTCTGTATATTTGCAAAAATTCAATAATGTTTCTAGTTTTTTGGCCATGCTACACTGAACTTTTATAACAGCTTCTCAGTAAATTTCTGCAAGCACATGGTAGTTTTTAAAAATACAAAAAACATCAGAGTCAAACCCAGAGGGCCGTTTCATTTCTAACACACACATAAATACACACCTATAGATCTTACTTTAAAACTATTGAATGTACAAAGTATTCTTAATAGAAAAACAATTCTAGACTCTCATAATTTTTATCTGCAAAAGGAATGCCACCCTCTCATTTGTTTCCACTGAGTAATTCTCTCATAAGTTATTTACAGATTAAATGCAGGAACCATACTGCTACATGTGAATATGCATTAAAAAAAACCCATCACCACCACCGTGGACAAAGGCCACTGTTCTAAATGGAAGCCAGGCAGTTTTCCCTCGAGACTAAATCATCTCAAATTAAAGGGCACAATCTAATCAAATCCCTAATTAGGAATAATTGTCTAAAAGCTAAATTACTGAATGAAACGTTTTTGCTTCAAAGGGCTCTGATATACTACTAGCTTCTAAGTAATTCAGATTATATCCATGTATCTTAGTATCTGCTGCTTATTAATATTTTAATATCTGGTCACAAACATTTAATATTATACATTCAGAAAGTGGTCTGAAAATTTTATCATGTATGTAAAATTGGTAAGATATTTTGAGTTAATCATATTCCTACAGTTCAGCCCAATGTGACAACCTGCTCTCATGCCCTAACCCTGTGAAACTGTTTATTGAGCTTTATGGGAACATGGCTTCAACACGCCGTATGCCAGAGGGTCCGTGCGAAAAAAGGAGCTGAAATGCAGCGGAACTCTCTCCTCAAATCCTAACGCTCACTTCACAAAACAGTAGAAAGCAAAACCTGGCATATTATGAGAAATGATAATGAGAAAAATAGTTTATCTTTATTGAAATACAATATATGACATGAGTGTCACTAACATTCATATTGAAAAAGTCAAGATTTGAGCAACAGGGATGTTTCATGTAAACTTCAAGGCAATAAAGTCATATTTCTAAAGGCAAACTATTGGTGTGTTAATTTTTCTAGAAATCCTCTACTAAAAATCCTTTGATCAACAAAGATAACAGAAGATGATATGATGGGGTTAAAAAATAGGACATAGTAAAAATTCTCTGGAGGCGAAAGTGAACAGAACTTTCTTTAAAAGCCTAAGAAACACACAAAACCCAATTCCTTTCTAAATGAAGTAACGTGAAAACATTTTTTCTGTTAATTGCTATAACTATATTTATATGTATGCTCTGAAGTTCTCATGACAGTCCTGGATTGTTTTCTAATGTGTAATAATAATTAGTAATATTATAGGAAATAAAATTATTTGAGCTTACCTAATATTAACACATGAAGTACTTATTAAAACCGAGTATATGGGATATCAAGTCTGTTCTCAATTTCAAGTTTTGACAACTTAAAACATGCAGTAAGTTGTAGGGTTTTGTTTTTTTAAGATAGACTGTAGACTAAGCAATATTAATTGCACAGACCGCAGAACACTGAGATATTCATGGTTTTAGGGACCACTGCCTGTTGCCAGCTCAAGATGCATGCCTTTTGAAAACACACAATTTCCTTTCTTATTTTTTTTTTTAATTCTTCAGTCATTCACCTTCAGAAACAAGCACCAAATTTATATGGAACAGCCACAGAAGGCAAAATTCTTTTCTTGGATTTCTGCATCAAAACTGGTTTTTAAGCCCTTGATACAGAAAAATATTTTTCTAGTATTTTGAACAAAGCAAATGCTTGAAATCATACCGTGGAAAGTCCCCTCTGTAGGGGATCATCTGAATGGACACTAGGCATGCACAGGCCAGCCGACAAGGGTGGCAAGTGAGGGCCAGCATGGAGAAAAGGAAGAGGGAAAAAAAACCCAGCAGGACTGACCAAAGGGCAGGGGCGACTACAGGTCTCCAAGAACATCCATCTCACTTATAAGAACTTAAAAATCAACATGCTGAGGTGCTGTAATGAAAAAAGGAAAATCCACATTTCTTTATGAACACCTTTGAGAAGACCAAAATTCTTTCCTCCAGCTTGGGGGAAAAAAAATGAATCCACAAATAGGGAAAAGGCATGGCAAGCAAACAAAATTAGCCTCTTGATTTTCTTCACATAGAAGGTGGTCTCTCACAAGAATTTATTTGATGTATCAAAGACTACAGGATCACTTCCAGATATAATGAAAATAATTCAAATGTCACTGCTGTGTATAGGATTCGAAAAACTCACATCCTCAAGGTGTTCCAGGACAGATTCATTAATTGGGTCTCACCTTAGAACTTCTTATTAAATGTTAAATTCAGTGTCGCCCAAAATAAAAATGAAATAACAACCCAAAGCTGATAGCAGAGATCACGAACAGCTGGCCACAAGTGGAAATGGGACCTCTGTTCTTCGGGGTAAACTGAACAGCAGAAACCCCTTGTGGGTTTTCTGACAATTCACTGTGACGGTACATCATCGTGGGAAACTGCATCTCCGGGATTTCCACAGTCTTTGTCATGACTTTCACTTTCTTCATCTTTTTCAGGAGTTCCACTCTCCTTTTTCTCCACGGGACTATTAGGTGCTTTTTCTGGCTGAGGCTCGGAACTGTCGGCATCACCGTCTGTCTCTGCGTTTCCTGGCCCGGCGGCCTCACTGCCCGGCTCTGCGCTCAGCCCATCTGTCTCTTCTCCCGGCTCTCCAGGTCCCCCCTTTTGTTCTTCAGCTGTTTTGCTATTTACATGCACCACGGAGGAGGAGGAATTCTTGGCGTCCTTGGATTTTTTATGCAGGGACGTTTGACTGCTATGACCAGAGGCGGCGGGGCCAGGCGTTTTCTGAGCTTTACTGGCCTCTGACTGGTCTTTCCTCGGTGGTCCCCAGATAAAATTCTCTGAAGGCGTGTAATGTTTCTGGGCGAACCGGAGGAGCTTTCTCCTCTCTCTTCTGTCTCGAATGGTATAAACAAAATACTCCAGGGCGCTCTGCTTAATATTGGGGATGGTATTTTCCACCAGCGCCTCCTGGAGAATAAATTTTACAAGGGGAGATTTAAAACTTTCATATCCAAGCTCGCCCAGGCTTTTCAGAATACGAGTGATTCTTAAATAGTTGTGCTGGGACCTGGAAGAGGATAGGATAAAATGAAAGAGAAAAATTAGGTGGAAGAAAGCAGGGAAATAAAAACTATCGGGAAAATATTTTTTATGGAACTGTGAGCCACGAACACGTCTCGGAATGACTGTACTGAAAGTTGTATCAGACGCCATTAAGAAGAATAAGACAGAAGATATTAAACCTCTATACCCCAGTATAATGCCACTCTACATAAAACTCAAGCATATACTATAAATTCTCTTCATTCCTTTAGTTCTTCATATTTGAAACATATTTAAATTTACAATTCATTCCCACTGGGCTGAACTGCTGTTTGTGTATTAAATACACTGAGGATGAGTATCTCCTAGCGCATCTGCAGCATCACCAAAGTGTGGCACCCATCACAGGTACCCAGTGATGAACGTCAACACGACATCAGCCCAAAGGCACGATTTACAGGGTACCTGCTCAGCAAAATCCACCACATTAACCAGCTCGTAAGAAAAGCAGCTAGAAGGATTCTGACAAAGGATGCAAAACTGACTTGTAGAGCAAAGAGTAGGGGCTTCAGAGCCAGACCTGAATTCACCACTGCCAACTCCATCTGTGTGAAATCACAGTGTCTCTCAAGCTCAGTACCCTCACCTGTAAAATGGGGAAAACAGCCCACACTCCTCTGGACTTGGAAGAATCAAATGCAGGGCAGGTGGAACACAGTCAATATGAGACACTGTATACCATCAATGTTATTATTGTCATTGTTATTACTCAGATTTGGTATTCAGGACTGCCGTATTTGTACCCATCCCAGCTCAAGCACCTAAACTCTCTTCCATCTGTGGCCTCTCTCTCCTCTTCTTTCCCTGCCACAGAATTTCAAATGTTGCTTCTAATGGCACTGACCCCAAAGATGCTTCTCTCCCCAGATTGCACTAACGTCTTCCATTTCAGTCCCCAAACTAAGGCCACTATCAGATGAAAGCATTCCAAACCTACTTGGTCATAACCAATAATCTTACCTCCGCTCCCTCACTCAGCCCAATTGTTGCTTGGTTACAAACACCTGGCTGCATCCTACAGCACCTTCAGGTACCTATGTTAATCATGTGTGTTCTCAACAGCCCAAGTTATTTATTTCTTTACTCAGTACAGCCACACAACCACAACCATCACTTACTTCCAATCTCCTAAAACCTATTTATACCTCAGACACTGAACTTTATACAAGCATTGCACATATGTGCCCTGGCTCCCAGAAGTGTGAGAGTAGCCACTTGGGAAAAACTAGCCATTTATTTGGGAAGAGTGAAGAAGGATATTGAATTGAGGGGTGGAACGGTGGCCTTATGGCCTTATATGGCCTTATATTTTTTAAAAAATTTTATTGAAGTATAACTGATTCACAATATTAGTTTCAGGTGTACAGCAAAGTGATTCAGTTATATATATATGTTTCCTTTTCAAATTCTTTTCCATTATGTGTTATTACAAGAAATTAACTGTAGTTCTGTGTGCTATATAGTAGGTCCTTGTTGTTTATCTGTTTTATACATAGTAAAGTGTGTCTGTTAATACCCAACCCCTAATTTATCCATTGTTGTCCTTTCCCATTTGGTAACCATAGTTTGTTTTCTGTCTGTGAGTCTGTTTTTGGTTTGTAATTAGAATTTGTGTTATTTTTTTTTTGATTCCACACATATAAATGATATCATATGATATTTGTCTTTCTTTGTCTGACTTATTACACTCAATATGATAATCTCTAGGTCCATGCATGTTGCTGCAAATGGCATTATTTCATTCTTTTTATGGCTGAGTAATATATATATATATATATATATATATATACCCCATATCTTCTTTAATCATTAATCTGTTAATGGACATTTAGGTTGTTTCCATGTCTTAGCTATTGTAAATAGTGCTGCTATAAAAATTGGGGTGCATGTATCTTTTTGAATTATAGTTGTCTCTGGATATGTGCCCAGGAGTGGGGCTACTGGATCATATAGTAAGTCTATTTTTAGCTTTTTAAGGAAACTCCATACTGTCCTCCATAGTGGCAGCACCAAATGACATTCTCACCAACAGTGTAGGCTGTGGCCGTATACTTTAATAAAAGAGTATGGACCAAACAAAAACCATGATTCGGGCTAACCAAACATCGGAAAAATCCAGCAGTTTTTATTATTCTCTCCATTTATCAAAATAGTATCATCTTAATATTCAACTCTTTGAAGGCCAATGGGTAAAACATAGCACAGCTTCATTTCAGGTTTATGAATCTATGTTTTTTAATGGTTAGGAAGTACTAGTCTTTTGAGACAATACAAATTGGAGTGAAGTTGAGACAACATGCCATTACCAGCAGGACTGACCTAGTTGTCAGGTTAGTGTAAAGTCTGGATACCCTAAAACCTCAGTGGTAAAATCCCTGGGCAGCAGCCGCTTCATAAATTGAGGAGAAAGAGATGTATGGAAAAGTGGAAGAATATTTTCCTTTAAAACTCCCCAAAAGGAGTTATATGACACAAGAAAATTTACTATCTTTGCAACCAGCTCAATTTCACATATCCAGTCCAAGATGAATCACCATGATAAAATGTCTGTGCACACTTATCTGTGTCAACACATTCTCCAATTAAAAAACTTACATAACAGGAGAAGAGGACCAAACCTTGGGTTAAAGAGAATAAAAGATCAGGCTTATGGAACAAAATTATGCAAGAAAGAAACTAGGTATTTCAGTAGGATTTGAAATAAATGTCACAAATAAATACAAAAAACCCCCACCCTCCTACTGTTGTGAGGAGACTTTGGGGTCTCATGGCAGATAAAAGAGCAAAGGGGGGCTTCCAGAGGTAAGGGCAGTGGAAAGGGCGGAAGCTGTCAGGAAGACTAGGTGGGAGAAGAGAGAAGACACAAAAGGCAGGAACCAGGACACAGAACACAAAAGTGAGAGGGGCTTCCAGGGCCTGAAATACAGCTCAGTAAGTGACTGCAAATAAAACTGGAAAAACACCTTAGTGGTTGGTCTATATCTCTGGCACTCACGTTTGAAAATCTTTCACCTCTTCAAGTCATGGTCACTTGTTCACTATTTCATCTCACTTTCAGTCAATAGTTTTTGTCTGCTGGGCTACTATAAATATATTGAGTTCCCTGCCCACTCTGAAAAACTCAAGATGTCATACAGATTAAAACACCAATCAAAGCTGTATGTGATATCCACGGAAAGGCAATATGGTGGTGGCAAGAAAGGAGCTGGATGGGGCAGCGAGTGAGACGGGGCAGCAAGGATCAGGCTGCCCTCGCCGCCCCAAGACAGGAGGTCATTTAATGAAAGCCTTCAGAAGGGCTCTGTGTCCAGCTACCAATGAGAGGATCTGACGATAAAACGCCAAGGAGGATTTAGGCTGACAACCCTGTCTTGTTCATCACTTATTCATTCAACAAACATTTACTAAATAAGCTTGCTACTCTAACCCAAAACTACAAGGTGGAATGACACTTGTGAGTACGTGGAAAATGAGATACTATCAGATTCTCTTCAAAGACTGACTTTTGCCCTCCTTCACATCAAGAGGCTGCTTGCATGCAGTTGTCATTGACAGTCTGACGCGAGTGCTTAGAAATGTCGTCCAGAGATCGCTACCTGCATGGCTTTGGCAGAGGCACAGACACTTCTCCGATAAATGCCCTTTATAAATCCCATTTAACTTGAGTTATGAGTTAATGGGTCTTCTGGTCAAGACCATAAGGCTTTATGCCCATATTTGAGTATTTTAGTATAAGCTACCATTTTAACAGTGTTGACTATAACTAATAAAGTAAAAGGAAGACCTAAGTGTTCATTTTACCAAAGCAAGATAAAAGTTCTAGAAAAACACAAAACATTTAGTTACTTGATGCACAAAACTGTTTGGGGCAAAGACAAATTTCTTAGGTTAGTTCTAATTATTTTTCTCTTAATACTTGCCCAGTTCAACTAATTACAACATGCTAAAAATGTTTTAAAGTTGTTGGTTTTATAGTCCGGCACTCAAAAGTTATCCTCTAATTAAAAAGAAAAACAAAATAACCCGCCAGTTTGCATGCAAAGAAAATAATTTAAAAAAAAAACTTTGGGTATACGTATTAATGAAAGTTATAAATATCCAAGCAAAAGAACACAGCAAATCAATTCCAAATCAACTGTTATATTTTCTTCACAGGTTTTAGGATTTACTAAGCAAAAATGGGCTTTTGTTTTTGACCTAAATGATGAAGATTCTAATTTCCCCTCTTTCTTAGGAAAGTGGATGTGTACATCTCAGTCTTACAAAATGATTTTTATAGATCAGAGGCTTAATTCATGGATTTAATCTAAGAAGGCACCAGGCCTGAGGGACAGACTGCGCTTCAAGAAACTTACACCTTAGGAGAGCTGGTTTGGAGAAATGTATATAAAGCAATAACCACAAATGCCAAGAAATGTGGTATAAAGAGGGAGAGAGACCACACTTGGCTGTGGGCAGTGGAGAGGTTTCAGGAAGAACCAGCTCTGAAATTGAGTAGCCATATTTCTACCTGAAATATCCTTCTTTTCAGTTGTTGCTTTGTTTTGTTTCGGGAATACAGAACCGGGAATAAAAGGCACTTTGGATTAACTTTTGAATTCAAATTCCTGGGTCCATCTGCTACTTGTTCCTGCGTTCCATGGAGAATTCCAACCAAGGGAAAACAAGCCGACTGGGATGTACGGCGGGTGGGGCTGTACTTACTCATTCAGATGCTGAAACCTCTCCTGCCAGTTAACAGCCCGAGCAACATTTCCGGTTTTATCGATCAGTTTTATTCCAAAAAATTCTAACATCATTTTATAAGCCAGGAGGAATCTTCGAATTGCTTCTTTTGTTTTTTTGAATTCCTAATAAAAAAAGAAAAGGCAGTTGAAGGGACTCGGGAGTGACAGGGCAATCACATGGTAGTATTATTTGGCTATTTCACGTGAAACAAAACAAGCCTGCATTACCTCAATTTCATATGTAGTTAGTTCTTTTGCGTAAAAGTTCAAGCCTTGTTCTCTCAGAGGGAAGAGCCTATTTTTTAGAAAAACAATTTTTTTAGATTAATGTTGCCTGGAAAACATCCATGATTAAACAGGACACGGCTGAAGAGACAGAACATGGGACTCACCATTGGATGTAAGTGTGGTTGTGCTCCAGAGTCTCATAATCCCCTTTCCACTTGTTGAGAACTTCTTCAATGTAAACACCTAAACGGTGAAAACGGAGATGAACCAGGCGTTTCAAACATTGTTGAAAACCATTTTAAGATCTAATCACTTAAGCTTTATATTAAAACTTTTTAGAACTTAATAACAGCACACAAGAGCAATGCTTTTATAAGGTGAATACCCTATGCCAAATACTCAGTTATGTCATAAGCCTGACTTAAAAAAAAATTAATGGTGCCTCAAATTGCAGAAAGTTTTACTGGACAGTTACTCTAAAGCAGAAGCTGGCAAACTATGGCCTGCCGTCCTGTTTTATAAAGAAAGCTTTACTGGAACACAGCCACACACATTCGTTCATGCATTTATATACAACAGTGGAGTTGAGTCCACTGCAACTGAGATCATATGGCCCACAAAGCTGAGGATGTTTCCAACGTGGCCCTGCACGGAAGTCTGCCAGCCTCTCTGCCTTGGAGGGACAGATAGTTCTTCAAATACTAGATCGAATAAAAATGAAATATATCCCAGGGGAAAAGAAAGAAAGGAGACAGACGTGGGGGGATGAGAAAGAGAAGAGATGCAGGAAAAAGGAGAAGGAAAGGAGGAAAGAAAAATGCAAGGAGACGGTGGGTGGTGAGCGCCCCCTATCTGCGGGGCCCGTCAGGCCGACTGCGCAGGGACTCTCTCCATCTGGTGTTATTAGCCCCGCTTTTACCGAGGAAATCGTGTGATCTGGTCAAAGTCACTGACTCATAAAAGAACATGTCTAGAAATAGAGCACAGGTCTCCGGTTCTAAAATGCAGGCCCTTCCTTTCATCGCTTCCTATTCTCCTCCCATAAGAACTTATTACAGTAAAATCCGCCTGCTTATTCTGACCCCCACCCAATCTTATAAGATTTCCAAATAAATTTTGTGATAAAGATTACAAAAAAAAATCAATGCATTGCTTTAAGTTATTGCTCTAAATTGCTACCTCAAAAATAAATGCACTGTTGGAAATACAAAAATAACTTGGTTAAACACTGTCATTATCTCTACATTCAATGTTTTTAATATTTGAAGGCATTCCTTTAGGTAAATTTTATTAAATTCATATCAGAGTCAAATTAACAATCTACCATTGCATTTCTTCAAAAGGTTTTCTTACCCCAGGTCCTAAAAAACTAACTTAATTAGTATTATTTTGATTAGTAAATAGAGCAGCGTGTTCCCACCATTAGTAAATATGACAGAGCATTTTTATCTAGAGGGTTCCTTCCAAAACAGGGCTGACTTCTGGGACACCAGAAATTAATTAAAGACAAGAGGATCTGGACACTTCAGCAATGTCCTTAAGTCCCAATTCCCAGCAGACGTGTCTGCCAGTGCACAATATAGGAGACTCCTCCTCCCAAAGCTCCACCCCACATTTGCATATTCTTCCTCCAGTTAATTCACCAAAGGATGCAAGGTCCTGCCCTCCGGAGAGCTTTGCAGTCCGCGACCTTCGTTTCCTGGCTCACAGTGCTATGGATTTGGCTGAGTTTCCACTGAGAGCAGAGTGCAGCGGCCAGGGCCATCTGGTCACCTCGCAGAGATTAAGGGCTCTAAGGAGAACAGCCAGCTTTCTGGTCTGACCTGCATACAATTAGGATGCCCACCAGGAACCACAGCGTGGTGCCTCCGTGAAACATGCCTGTCACCCTGGAGGCTGCCTCCTCTCACTCTAGGTTTAGAAAAGATCCTATGAGGGCAACTGTAGAGTTGTAAAGGGGGACACATTTATTTGGCTGAGTTGAATGGAGATCTGCTGTGTCTGTGGTCCCCTTCCTAGGATGTCCTAACTCTGAACTGGAACTGCGGTAGCCACCACCCCTCCCCCGACCCCTGAATCTGAAAATCAACAGGAAAGCTTATTCTAGTACAAACATCACTTTTCAATTAGGTTCTAAATATTCTGGGCGTGTGGCACAGTGAAAAGAATACTTAACTCTAGAACCCAGACCCAAGTCTGTGATCCAGTGACCCAGCAAGTCGGTCATGCAAGCTTTGGGACTCAGTGACTTCATCTTTAAAACGAGAAAGCTGACTTTAATTTCCCCTAATGTTCCATTTTAATAATCTAATATTCTATGGCGCTAAAAATCTCCTCTCTTCCTCTCACAAAAATGGCGCCCACTACCTTTCAGAGAGTAGTAGCCACTGCGAACACGTGGTGGGAAGGTATTGCTAACCCTCACGTTATTCCTCCAGAATTTACCGAGAGGATGCTCACAGCGCTAGGGTCTAGGTCTTTGAGGAAACAGACAGCAGAGGAAAGTAAAGCCAGTCAATGAACCAATGCATTAAACGCATTAAGAATGTATGGACCATGGAATAAACAAAGAATAACTAGCTGTAGTATTATTTTAAAAGTCTGCTTTTTACCGAGGTAGCAGATTACTCACCATCTGGCTTAAAGGGAATTTTATTCTTATAAAAACGAAGATTGCTTAAGTCATTCTGATACCGGATATCTTTGAAGTTCTGCTAAAGGAAAAAATAAATCAATCTCCAGCATATGGACATAAAAAAAGGTACAAGGACCTTTCTTGCATGTTTGCTCATTGGCACCCCAAAGTAACAAAAACAGAAAGGAAATATTTTACATTTTAGAAACAGAAAACCATTCTAGAGTCTTACTGGGTACTGGTGTCGGTATTTGTACAAATCCCTCGCAGCATAAAAACTTCTCTTTGGTTTGGCAGTTGCTTCAGTGGAATCACCACCCTAAAATTAAAAGTGAAATTCCATTTACATGTTGAAGGAAGATAATCCCATTTAGAGAGATTTCCAGAACAAACTTAAAATAATGACTATCCATAAAGAAAGCCTGAGAAGTGTGAAGCTGTCCAGATTAATGAGATATTATAAACATCCTTTTGATAATGCTCCCTAGCAACATTTGTTGGCATCCTTGGTTCCTGATTTGAGGCCAATAACATTTGTCCTAAGGTGTTTTACTAAATAAAAAAACTTTATTCTTCACCAAAAGCCTCTAGAGGCCAAATGTTATGGGTCAGTATCCATCAGAAACAACTCAAAATGAATTCAAGACATATATTTCACCAGAGGTAACACAAGTGATACTACAATAAAACTTACTTTAGAATACATCACACTAAAAAAAAAAGTGTTAAAATAATAATTCAATTCTACTAAGAAAACTATCATTAATTTTGCAATATTTTGCTGTACTTGGAAATCAAGTAATATTGATGAAAGGAATGGGGGCTTTTAAAACAAACTAAATAGCTTTCTAAACTTCATCCTTTACCGCATGTAGCAAGTGCACAAAGGCATAAATGACTTTCTGTTAAGTCAGTGATCATACAATGTGATACAAATTAGCAAGTTTAAACTATATACACACAAAGCAATAAAAGCTCTCAACTGGAATGAACCTCACATTGTAGTAATTTATATGTGGTAGTTCACTCATACTGCTTAAATTCTAAACACAATCCCCATCCCCATGACATAATGTTTGAAGTATAAGATCCAGGTCCATATAACCAGTTTACAGTCTCTAACCACATGTACTATTATAACGTATAAGAAAGTGCTTTGGTCCAGTGTCACGCAGAAGAATGAGAATGGTGACGACGATGAACAGATGACAAAGTTTAGATCGGGACATTTATTATGAGCTCTGCCCCAAGTCCTCTCCTCATCAGCCCCCACCCCATCTGTGTAGACAGACTGCCACCCTCTCAGCCATTTTCACACATTTTTGAAGTAGCGTGATGCTCACCATTACTACAAGTACCGAGAAACCTGAGCACAAAATTCTCTGGTGTTTAACATCAGCTACCCCATCATGTTGCATAAGCACAGGAAAGCTTAAATTCTGGTCCTTGCCACACGTTTCAAAACAGCTCTGAATCTACAGAGCCTGAGCCACAACCATGCGGATCATCATCCTACATTTGTGCAGAAAAGCACCTTCCCGTTTACAAAGCACTTACACATGCAGTATTTAATTTGACTCTTATAACACACCTGGCAGGCAGTTAGGAGCACTTGCATCCTAGAAACAAGGAAACCCAGGCTTGGAGAAGTTTAACAAGACCCGGAGCCCAGAGATAGGGAAGGAACCAGAACCCCAGGCTCTGGGCTCGAAGTGGAGCTAGCTCAGCATGAGTCAGTTTCAGCTCCACTAAACACGAAGGACCGCTATAGAAACTTTGGTATAATGTCAAAACCCCAAGCTGGGAGTCAGGATCCTTGGGCTGAGTCTTAAATCTGCTGCTTATTTGTGAGGCCTTTAACTGCATCTTGGTTTTATCATCTGTGAAATGAGAATGACTCACACCCTACCTATTTCCCACAATTATCCGGGGAACAGCTGCCTCCTCCGACCTCTAAACGTGCCAACCTGCCGCATCCGCCGGCTCCTCCACTTCCGCTCCTCTTGGTCTCCATCCCACTGCCTTCACCTCCTGTGCCACGGATTCTGCTCCTTAACATACTGTTCCTAGTTCCTGTATCAAAACTTCCCTGTCTCCTCGTCATTTCCCTCAGCAAACATGCTGTAGTATCTCTAATCTTAAAATAAACACACACAAATTGAGACTGACCCCAATCCCCCCGCAATGACAGCTCTGCTCCCTTTTATAGTAAAACATCACCAGAGAGCTGCTCACAGTCCCTGCCTGTCCCCTCCTCTCCTATTCTCCCCAGACCCTCCCCAGTCAGGTTTTCATCCCCCACATTCCATCAAGATGGCTCTTGTGAGTGTCACTAACAAATTTCCATCTCACCAAACCATTTCTCAGTGCTCAACTCAGGCGACCTTCTGGCAGCATCAGGCCAGTTAACGCCTCCCTCTGTCCTGAAACACTGTCATATGCCACACCTGGCCTGGTTTTTCCTCCTACATCATTGGTCAGCCTCATATTTGGCTCCTCCTCCTGTTCACAGGCTCTAACTGGAGGAGCGCGAGGGGACTTAATCCACGTTTCTCACTCGCCTCTATGACTATGTCTTCCCATGACTTTGAATACCACCAATTTATATGCTGACAACTCCAGTCCTGGACTGAGGCTCCACTCATAGACATAATTAACTTCTCAACAACTCCACTTGGATGTCTCATAGGATATTAAACTCAAGAGAATTCTTGATTTAACTTCTGTTGCTGCTTTCTCTCTAGATTTCCCGACCTTAGTTAATATCACAGTCATTTCTCAAATACACACTTGGACTAGAGTACAGCAATGTGGGTGATAAGACGCAGCCAGCCTGGGATGTACTTTAAAGGTAATTCGAAGTACTTGTAAATGACAATGGGGGGTGGGGTAGGGAACAGTCAGATACAAAATTTAAAAGTAGATTTTTTAAAGAAGTGACATGATGATACTGACAAGAAAAATTAATCATTAAAGGGGAAAATAGAGGGTTGGGGTGACCTACCATGTACTGAGGTTGCAATTAACAGATTGAAACATTAAATATCAAACTGTTTTATACACATGGACCTGGTTAGTTGGACTGAATCTGAGCTGGTGTTTTTTGATATTCCAAACTTCTTGAGAAGGTTATTTAAATGGGAGACAAGTGGAAGGGGAAAACACTGCAATACAGAGTCTAATACTTCCCTGGGTCTTAATTTGCCGGACAAAATGACCCAGAGCCAAGAGGCAGAAATATATTCACAATTCCAGCAGATCAAAGCACCTCTCTCTCTGGATGATCTTGGGCAAGTTTCTCCTTCTGGGCCTCAAGTTTCTTTAAAATGGGGATTCAAAACAGCAACTCCCACCCCACCCCCAAAATTGCAGGTAATGGAAATAAAATGTTTAGCATCCAGCCTGCACTAAGACTGCTTCCTCCTGACCTAAACGGAGATGATCATCAGGACAGATGAGGCAGCCTTCACTGTAAAATGCAGGAGCTGATTTCCTCTACTCCAGCCAAGTACCCCGAGGTTACATTAGACTGAGGGCTCCATTCCCCCTTCTCACCCACCATGGCTGATAAAGAGGGAGGCCTAATGCAGAACCACATGCTGGGAAGACCTCCACGATGCACACTTCTTCAGAGGGTTGGCTCTGCAGTTTCTCTCTTTTTTTTTTTAAGTTTTCTGAATTATTTTCAGTCCATCAGAGATTAAAAGAGATATTCATCTCTTCACTAGCACCTCATCCAAGTTGCACTGGGCAAATGACTCAAGCGCAGTTGGATCAACAAGTCTTCTGGTTGAAATAAGATTTTCGAAGCGTGCCCTGAACTCCTGGGTGGGCAGGCCTTACTTGGAATAAGAACTATGTTGTGTTAACGTCGGATGGGGGCCTTCTAGGATACTTCGGAAAGCGGTAGACCCCTCCGTAGGGAACAGTGCTGGCTGCTCAGTCGCGGTCCCACTTATTCTGGGTAATTCGGACCAGTAAGATGCACTAGACGGGTTTTCACCGTCGTCTATTTTTAGGCAGGTTCCTCCCACCCCACCTTCGCATCACCCAGCTGCGCTGCGGAGGCAACGAAACACCCATTCAAGTTGGGTTCCGCCCGGAGGGACTTCCTCGTGGTGGCTGGGCTCGGGCCCCACGCCGGCAGCAGGCGGCCCCGCGCCCTCGACCC